GAATTCCTTTTATACCTCTTAAGACTTATCGAAATGCAATTCCATTTAAAAGAACTCAATTTCCTATTAGACAATGCTTTGCAATGACGGTAAATAAATCACGGGGTCAAACACTTGATTTTGTTGGTTTGTATCTTCTAGAACCTATTTTTTGTCATGGTCAGCTTTATGTAGCATTATTAAGAGCTAAAACAAGCACGTCTATAAAAGTTTTGCTTAAACCATCAAATACTATCAATTTACACAATACATGTACTAAAAATGTTATCTACAAGGAAATCCTTTCGTTCATGCATCCGTAGAACCACGACCTTTTCGTAAGTACTTTCTAATTTTTAGCATATCTTAAACTCTCTTCTCTTAGATCAAATTCAATAGAATGAAAATGGATTTTCATTTATCTGCTTTTTAAATTTGTTTCCTCTATATAAGTGTAGAATAACTTGGTTGTACATAATTCGACGACCTTTTAAATTCATGCAATGAATTACATCAAATAACTTAACAGTCTTACAAGGAGTACGTTGCAGACGAGCATGAGAAACATGAAAAAAAGAAGTTAATATACAACCTGATAAGGTTAGTGAAATATTGTTCTAGAAATATTTTTTTTATCAATGTAATGTGCTGTATAATATTTTATCTTTTTCTTTTGCAATACACAAATTGAATGTTTAAATATTTTTATAGAAGTACAATGTGATCTTTTCACTTCACATCTTGCTCAAAAATGAAAATATTTGCCATCTGATGACTCTTATAAGCTTATTCCTTTTAAAAAAAAGATTTCCCTTGAAATTTATGCCTTCTTGTTGGATTATAAAATTTTGCCTTTAAATGTACTCTTCACTTATCAGATTACTTTTATTATAAGGTGAAGCATATTGCCCATTTTACATAAAAACTAGAAGGTCGGTACACTGTGTAACAACTAAAACTCTTTTCCTAAAAGAGACAAATAGAGACGACGCCTGATTCTTTGAAATGTCTTGTTTAATTAATCAGCTGCAACTATTGTACCACATGCTGCTACATCATCCTGAAAGAAATGGTAATTGGGTGTGTTCATCATATTTGACATTTGTTTTTTTGCAATAATCGACTCTCTTACTACTATTGCACCTGTTATAGCTTCTCCTCTTGCACATCTTAGCTTTGGAGTTGTAACTCTAGCAACCTTTCTTGTTCCATCTTTTGATCCTAGGTTGATTGAGACATCGGTATAGTGAAAATTGTTTATGCTTTTGTCCGGTTCACAACATCCTTATGATTCATGAAATTGATTAATTAAGATTGTTAAGTGTTTGATATTTTGCACAATTTATTTTATATTAGATTTTTTATTGCTTTGCAATAGTTGTTTCTTATCTTTTCATTGACGAGCTCATAAATATTTTAAGATTCTTATTATTTGATTCGGAACTTATTCTATCCCCTAAGCTAAGTTTATAATATGAATTGAATCATCTTATACGGTTTTCTGCCGTTTAGTTTACTTAACACGTTGTCCTTAGCTTTGATGGGATTCCTATTGCCAATGATGGAACGGGTGATTGAGACAAACGTTCTGATGGCATGTAGAGAGAAAGAGAGTTTTCCCATCCCATCTCGTTGCCTTCCCCATCCTCTTCTTATGCACAAGTGTAAAGATTTTATGCTATTTTAAACTTTAACTCCAATTTTAAAAACAAATTCGCTCTTGTAGCTCATGAATTGGAAATTTTAATTGCTGCAAATAACACAATGCTAAATTTCATTGATTACTTGTCAAGGAAGAATAGACTTACAATCATGATGAAAGATGCTATAGGAATTTTTAATCAAGTGAGGTTTAAGTATAGTTATAAGCTTGTGGCAATTAAAATGTTGGTTCCTAAAAAAAGGAATTTGCCCAAAACCATTGTCATCTTACGAAGATACCTTTCTTCAATGGCTTTTACGAATTCCTGAGCTCTGGACAAGTTGTTGTTACGGTTAAAAAGGTTCAATTTATATCATCGCTTTCTAACTTGACGTGTTACTGTGTCAATGGTTGGACTAATGCGCCAACAAGTATAACTTAAAAATAATTTTTTATTTTAAATTGAAAATGATGTATTAAAATAACTGATAATTTAAAAATTAATTTAGTGGAAGAAATATTGTGATTATAGGAAAGCCTATTATTCATGTTTTTTTAATTATTAACATGTTTCATTATTGCATTGTTTTGTGATTATACTGCAAATTATTATTAATAAGTCCAATTTCATGTTGTATATCTTGCAAGGTTAGGTTATATTAATAGCCAAGTTTTATTGAGTCTACTATTTCTGGTTGTAACAAGTACAACATATTTCTTACTTACGGAGTACCATTATGTTGGTATATTCATGGTCGCTTTTGCAATTCTCTTTTTTTATTTATTAGGCTCTGTGGAAGGTTTTAGCACAAAGAGAGAGCATTGCACCTACGATAAGTAAAAACTATGCAAGCCACTCTTGCAACCGCTTCTTAGCACCATATACTTTTTGCTTGGTGCTGTCACTTCAGTCCTTCCTGGTTTTCTTTGGATGAAAATTGCTATATATGCAATGCAAGAACTACATTGGAAGCGAGAAAATGTGTCAGGAAATGGGTTTTCAGATCTGGTGCAGTCATGGGTTTTCTCCTTGCTACAAATGGCCTTTTGGTACTGTACATTACCATCAATCTCGCCAAGCTATATTATGGTGACCACTAGGAAGGCCTCTTTCTCTTCGAGGCGATAACTGGCTATGGTCTCGGTGGATCTTCCATGGCATTTTTTGGGAGAGTATGGGGGTTGTTTGCACTAAGGCTGCTAGGAAGGCCTTTTGCTCTACAAGGCAATAACTAGCTATGGTCTTGATGGATCTTCCATGGCTCTTTTTGGGAGAGTAGGAGGAGGTGTTACACCAAGGTCGCTGATGTTGGTGCTAATCTTGTTAGGAAGAATGAAAGCAAAATTCCATAAGATGGCCCTAGGAATCCAATTGTAAGATACAATGCTTCCCTGATGTCACGTCCTTTGACATGAGAATGAGTTGTAAATGATTTAAATTTGTGTGTTGCACGTGATTGCTGACAACATCAATGATAATGTTGGGAATATTGATGGAATGGGGTCTAATCGTTTCGGTTGATATGCAAAACCATCATGTACTATTCTTGTGGTGGCTTCCATCTCTTCTTTGAGATTGACTCATGAATCCACTGCAATGTGTTATCCACTGCTTATTAGTTCCATTAGAATCCTTATTTGCTTAATCACCACCCTTTTTTGCTATTGACATTTTTGAAATCAAGGTTGTTAAGGAAATTGAACCAGGATTGAAAAACCATCTTATTATCTCCACTGTTCTTATGACTATGGGCGTAGCATTTGTTACCTGGCCTCGTGCTTATTCTTCACAATTTTCATTTGGTGATCAAAAGGTTATGAAGAACTGGTAAGCTTTGATTTAGACTCTAAATTTATACTAGATATAGGCGGTGGAGAGTATTTTATGCATATAATGCCTTAAATTAACAATTGTGTCTTACTATTTCATTTCAAAACATTAACCTTCTTACTTTCAGAACTTTTGTTTAATCATAAACATTAACTAGATGATTAGTAATATAATTATTTATTAATATTCAATCTATAAATTCTCCTACTCTTCTTTTTTTTTTTTGCCACAAGTCCAAATTTTATACCTTGATTCATGCTATTTTTATTC